CAAATCTCACTTCTCTTTCAAATCTCAGACACCGGCGACGGCGAGGCGGCGAATATAGGCACCGGCTGCGGCGGAGAGTTCTCTCTCTCTCTCTCTCTCTCTCTCTCTCTCTCTCTCATACACAAACTGATCACTGTTAAACTTAAAATCGCAGGTCGCAGGCTCCCAGCTCACAGACCACAGTCACCGCGAACTCAGTTCCGGCGAACACATTCATTGGCGAACACAATCGGGCTTCAGGCTTTTTATCAGGGCCGGGCTCGGGCCCAAGTTTTAGGCCTGTTGGTCGGGCCGAGCTCGAGCTCGGGCCTAACAAATATTCATTAATGAAGAGTAAAAGCCCGGCCCAACCCATGAACAGGTCTATTACAACCATGGTTTTCAAAACTAGACCGGACCAGACGGTCGGACCGGAAAAACTGGGAACTGGTCAGGTGACCGGTTTCATTTTTCCTCAAAACTGGATTTTCTCCAAAATCCGTTGATTTTGGTCACCAAACCGCTGATCCGGGCAGCTAATCGTTCGAACGGTTTTGACTTTTTTTATTTTTTTGTCAGAACGGGCGAACAGTCAGACCATTCAACCCAGTAACCGGACCCCTAATCGATTCGGTCTCCGGGTCAATCTTAAAAACCATGATTACAACACTGGGATGTCTCGACCGGCCTCTCGGGCTTCTCATGCGACTGTGGTCCTTCCATCCTAGGGATGTAGAGGATTAATTGTTGCAAACAGGTATAGTATAATTTCGAATGTATAAGTAGGGATGTCAATGGACCAGTATGGGGTTGGACCCGTTCAAATCCAAATAAATTTGGATGAATTGGACAGACCAATAAAACATAGTGAATTGGACCAATTTAGGCTTAATGGCCCAAAGTATGTATTGGATTGGATCGGACTTGGTCCATTATATATATAATCAGATTGGGTCAGATTAAACCAATATAGTCCAAAGTATTCATCAAATTGGATTGGACCTGGTTCATTATAATGGACTCATATTGGATCGGATCAGACCAAATGCGATCCACATATAAAGAGGCACAATAGATTGCTAGCTAGGCTATTGGTAAGACTTGAATCCATGATCTTTTTATCTCTGTTTATTTATGGCTCTTCAGTGTATTTATTGTTTTAATACACATGTACTTTCCAAGAAAATGCAATTTCAAAGACATTAACCTTAATCATTTGCTTTCAAAACTAATAAATTAACCATCTATCCACTACATTCAAATGCAACATCATTTTTTTTTTTCACCCCAAACTTTATTCTCAATGGAAGGGAGGCCATTGGTTTGACCATGGTTAAACTTTTAACCTATGAATCTCTCTCTTTTCTAGTTCTATGCCATGTCCAGTTCTCTAAACACTAAGAAATTCCTGGGAGCATCAACAGATAATTAACGATCGGTTAACGACATAAATTAACTTGACACTTTATGAAAGTTGAGGTACTACAATTACATGTTTAAAAGTTCGGGTACTAACTTGACACCACCCCCAAAGTTCATTAGTATAGAAACACCTCCAAGAAGAATAACGCCATTGGAGGTCTAATTGCAATATGCAACATAGACATTCCTCCAAAGAATCTTATAAAAATATCATCTACATCAATGTCAACATAATAAACTGTTCAGTCTCAAGGCAGAAAACAATGAACAGTGCCTTCTTTTGAAGGATAGTTTTGACATTTTCAATAGATAACTAACGATTGGTTAACGACATGGACCAACTTGACACTTTTTGAAAGTTTACGTACTGCGACGACACATTTGAAAGTTCAGGTACTAACTTGACACTACCCCCAAAGTTCAGGGTAAGAATTTTCCTTTTTTTTTACAAATTTTTGTAAAAAAAAGTTTTACAAAGTTGGTTTAAGGCCCGACTACCCTCTAAACTAGTGGCTAACCCGATATAACCTCTATAAGGGCATATCAGGAAGCCACTGACATAATATGTATCAGCTGATACGAGTTGATACATATCGATACTTTGAACCTTGCAACATAAGCATTCCTCCAAAGAATTTTATAAAAATATCATCTTCATCAATGCCAACGTAAGTCTCAAAGTATAATACAATGAACTATGTCTTTTTTAAAGAGTAGTTTTGATATTTTTGAATAAATAAATGACGATAAGTTAATATGACAGATTTGAAAGTTCGATACTAAATTGGCACTACCCCCAAAATTCAGGGTACTAAATTCGAATTTCCCTTTTTTTACAATTTTTTGTGTAACTTGAAGAAATAAATAGAATGAATTTGGTCATTTTAAAATTTTGTTTCTCTCACTATTTAAATTTCGAAGGATATTTTTGTTATTTCACACGTGCCACCCCTATGCAAACTGCAAATCCTTGAAAATAACGCTGGATCAATTTTCCAAAAACACAAAAAAAGGTATTCAGTATTCTTCACGGAACCAGTAAACATCATTTTAGTGAGAGATCTGAAAACCAAAAAAAGAAAAAAATTATTTTATTTAACCCAACTTATAGGAAAAGATTTCTTCAAACTCCACCACCACCGGCCCAGGCAGGCACCACTACACCAGCCTACCTCCCACGCCTGACCGACCTCTGTGCTGCTATTCAGTTTCAGCTTTTTTTCTCAAGCACAATCTCAACTCCTCTTACTGTTTATTATTCTTTAATTTTTTTCTCCCCTCTTTTGTTTCTTCTTACTCAAGAAATTTCCATTTCGTCTCCGTTTGGCCATTTATTCTCCATGGAATTAGGGTCTCCCAAGGCGGAAAAATCAACCAAGCCTAGAGACATTCGGGGAGTTGGAAATGGAAGAAGAAGAAGCAGAAGAAGAGCCGCCTGTTTGGGCGTAGTCCTTGTTTTACTGGCTTTGCTCATACTCCTCATAATTCTAGCTTTCACCGTCTTCAAACCTAAACACGCTGTCACCACTGTGAACTCCATCTCCCTTTCGGGACTCAAGGCCTCCATCGACATTCCCCGCATGGGGGTCGACCTAAACGTGACTCTCCACATCGATCTCTCCGTCGCCAACCCAAACAAGGTCGGATTCAAGTACAGCAACTCTTCAGCCCAGTTGTACTACCGGGGTGGTCTCGTGGGGGAGGCCGCCATCCCTGCGGGGAAGGTGTCTCCCGGCGGAACGGTCGGAATCAATACCACGCTGACGGTGTTTGCTGACCGGTTGCTGTCCGACTCCAACCTTTATTCGGATGTGCTCTCCGGTACGCTGCCCCTCTCAACTCACACAAGGATATCTGGGAGGGTTACGATTCTCAATTTGTTTAAACACCATCTGGTGTCTTATACTTCCTGCAACATCTCTATAAATATTTCCAAGCGAACGGTGGAGAATACGGAATGCAGATATAAGACCAAGTTATGATTCATTGTGAGATACATCTGGTTTTTTCTATTCCGTTCCATCTATTTATTCTGTCACATAGCTATGTAAAATGAAAAAAAAAGGAAGGATTTTTTTTTTTTGTTTTTTTGGGCGTAGCAATATAGCATAGTTAGATTAAAGGTTATTGATATTGAATTCAGTGTGTGAATACATAGTACTTTTCCTAATAATGTTCGTTCTACCTGGATTGGAAATGCTGAATTATTTGGAACCTAAATAACTGAATTAATTGGTTATTGTGTAGAAGTGATTACATATATCTGTGATGAATGCTGAATTATTTGAAATTTTAGACTGAGAATAATGGAGATGTTCAATTACAATAAATAATCAGCTATTCCTTGATTCCTCATTTCCCCTTCTTTGTTAAAGAAATTTTTGCAATGTTTTCCATATATTATTTAATAATAATGGAGATGGTGGTTGTGTATTAGACTTAAGTCATTAAGGGCAA